GCTCACAACAGCCAGGAGCCTAAGGTTCAAGCCAGGGCCTCGGGGACTTGAGCCACCAACATACTGCCTCCCAGAGTCCACAGAAGCAGGAAGCTGGAATCAGAAACAAAGCCAGTTCTCAAACACTGGCTCCAGTAAAGATTGTGCGTTATCTTTTTTTGTTGTTGTTGTTGTTAAGATTCACTTTATCCTTATTGGTGAGTCAGATATACAGAAACAAGGAGAGCCAGAGAGGAAGATCCTCCGTCCGTGGACGTAATCTGCAAGTGGCTGCAATGGTCTGTGCTATGCCAAAGCCAGGAATCAGGAGCTTCCTCTCGGTCTCCCCTGTGGGTGCAGGGTCCCAAGGCCTTGGGCCATCCCCAACTGCCTCCCCAGACCACAAGCAAGGAGCTGGATGGGAAGGGGGGCCACCAGGACTAGAACTGGCGCCCACATAGGATCCTGGGCACGCAAGGCGAAGACCTTAGCCGCAAGGCCACCGTGCTCTGATTGTGGGTATCTTAATGACGAAACTCACCCAACAGAGTTTCTTAACAAAGCAGCATTCTGAAAAGATATGTATGCCTCAATGCAAAAACGCTTATCAGGCCTGTTTGTCCCAGTTAACCCTAACCCTAACCACTCAAGTCTCATGGTCCAACTCTGGGTAAGTCAACAAGGAGACCAAACACAGCATGTATGCTGGGAGTTGTGACTTGCTGGTCTCATAATCTGCCCTCTGGACCCAGTGATTCACATCCCTTCTGTATGCAAGACGTACCACCCACTAGACGCTGAACTCTTACCCATGTCATGACCTCAGCTCAGAGTCCAGGAGCTCAGGATTGTTGTGATCTAGATCTGGAGGTGGCTGCATAGATACAGTCCCTCCTGAGTCAGGGATGCAGGCACTGAAAGGCAAAGTTGCCTTCCCACTCCATCACCACCATCTGTCATGCAAAGAAACTTCAGAAAGTTGATGGGAAATGTGTATTATTTTAAGAAAAGTGCATGGATATCAAAAGTGTATGCACCAGGCCCGGCCCAGTAGCCTAGCAGCTAAAGTCCTTGCCTTTAATGCGCCAGGATCCCATATGGGCGCTGGTTCTAATCCTGGCAGCTCCACTTCCCATCCAGCTCTCTGCTTGTGGCCTGGGAAGACAGCCAAGGACGGTCCAAAGCCTTGGGACCCTGTACCCACGTGGGAGACCTGGAAGAAGTTCCAGGCTTCTGGCTTCAGATCAGCACAGCACCGGCCATTGTGGTCACTTGGAGAGTTAATCATTGGACGGAAGATCTTCCTCTCTGTCTCTCCTCCTCTCTGTATATCTGACTTTGTAATAAAAATAAATAAATCTTTTTAAAAAGATGGGGGAGGAGGAGCAAGGAGAGATACAGACCAGTCACTGGTCCATAGCAATTCCAAAATTCAGCAGGATACTTGGTGTCAGGATCACCTGCTGTAGCAGTAAAGAATGTTTCCTTAATGGGACCCAGTTCTGTTCCCTGGAGGTGGTTCTCTAATCTCTAATTCTCTTTGGCTCTTGGCTCTGCCTTCTGAGCTACCTTCTCTTTTCAGTAGGGAATGGCTTGTGCTTGGAGCAGAGTGCCCAATCTCAAGCTCTTTGTTGTGCATAGAAAGTTTGGGGTTGAGCTCTATTCCCCTCACCCTGAACTGCCTCTGTGACTTTTAGCCCGAATTCATAAAACGGCTTTAAAAACCTATCAGGATTTCTCTGAATTGAGTTAGAGTTCATTTCCTTCCCTCAAAACCACATTCATGATTCTTTATGAGTCAGACCTCTCTACTGCCAGGATGAACACTGCTGCGGAACAGTACCCTCAGAAGTTGGAGAAGCACTTCTGTCTAGCCATTGCATTTTTCATGTCTTTACAAGGTCTTTACAAGGGTTAGGAATTTACTAACCAGACCCTTGATCTTATATTGAGACTGATTTTTTGCAAAAAAAAAAAAAAAAAGAAAAGAAAAAAGAAAAGAAAATTTAAACAAGAGCTGTGTTATTTTCACCTTTGCACAAGCCTTGCTACTCTAAAACATATTTGCCAACTGAACGAGTTTCTTGTTGGTTCCTCTCTGTCTTTGATATCTCATCACATGTGACTAAAAGAACGTGATGCTGTGAACATTCTGCCTGGAAATCCTATATTCCTAAGTTTATTAGATATATTTTCTATCATTCACGTTACCAAAGGCAGTTGTTTTTCTAACTGTTTCACTCCCTTGTGACACGATATTCTCTTCCTCAATCCTCCAATAAATTTCCTCACTTTTTTTTCTAGCTTCCAGTAAGAGTTTGCCATTTCCTCAGCCTTTGCCTGCAGCTCCCACTGCTCAAATTCAAAGCCATGAACTCCTAGTTTAGGCTTTTGTTATGACAGCATGCTCCCGTTATACGAGTTTCTATATTACATGCCTATTGTTGCATGGCAAACACAAAATCTGCCGATTAGTGACTTTAGACACCATTTTTATTTCTCACTGTTGTATAGAATCTTTACATGTTAATGCAATTGTGATAAACAAACAAAGGCTGCCAGTTGCATGGGTGCTTATCAGGCTTTGCTTACATCATGTTTAGTCAAAACAAGTCACATGACCAAACTTAGAGTCAGTATGAAGGAAATTACACTGGAGCATGGAAACCAAGAGGCGTGATTCACATGGAACCATCTGTAACAGAATCCAGTGGATGTCTACTTCTATTTTACTGCACATCCTTAGAGAAGTTATTTCATTTGTATGCAATAATACTGTTCTTAAGAAATTTTAGGGCCTGGCGCAGTAGCCCAATGCCCATACAGACACCCGTTTGTATCCTGGCTGCTCTACTTCCTTTCTAGCTCCCTGCTAATAGCCTGGAAAAGCAGGATGGCCCAACACCTTGGGACCCTGTACCCACAGGAGAGACCCAGAAGAAGCTCCAGGCTCCTGGTCTTGAATCGGCTCAGCTCCAGCCTTTGTGGTTACTTCAGAAGTGAAACAGCAGATGGAAGGTCTTTCTCTCTGTTTCTCCTTCTCTCTGTAAATCTGAATTTCCAGTAAAAATAAATAAATCCTTTTTAAAAATGATGCCCCCTATTATAGGATTCTGAAGAGATTTAAATTTTTAATGGCTATTTGTTGGATTTTTTCTCTAATTATAAAAATAACACCCTGAGTATACATTTGACCCAGCAGTTAAGACACTCTTGTCCTGTATCAGAGTACCTAGATTTGATACCTGGCTCTAGGTGTTTCGGATCCCTGCTCTTCATGGGAAACAGAAGAGGTGGCTCGAGTGACTGGGTTCCTGATAGCCACGTGGGACACCCAGATTGAATTCCCATCTCTCAGCTTGCACTTGACCTAGCCCAGCCATTGCAGGCGGCTGCAAAGTGGACCTGTGCATTGAAAGTGCTCGCTTGCCCTCTGCATCTCTCTCAGCTTCTGTGCCTATCAAATAAATTCTTAAAATTTTAACTAATACTTTTATCATTATATTCATGTACCTTTGGGCCCGGCGCGGTGGCGCAAGTGGTTAAAGGTCCTCGCCTTGCACGCCCGGGATCCCATATGGGCGCCGGTTCTAATCCCGGTAGCCCCGCTTCCCTTCCAGCTCCCTGCCTGTGGCCTGGGAAAGCAGTCGAGGACGGCCCAAAGCTTTGGGAACCTGCACCCGCGTGGGAGACCCGGAAGAGGCTCCTGGCTTCGGATCGGCATAGTATCGGCCCGTTGCGCTCACTTGGGGAGTGAATCATCGGACGGAAGATCTTCCTCTCTCTCTGTCTCTCCTCTCTGTATATCCGCCTTTCCAATGAAAAAATAATAAAAATAAATCTTTAAAAAAAATAAAAAATAAAAAAAAAAAGAAGAAAACAAATATCCTGAACCCTTACCTAACACAGTGCTACGTTGTAAATCCTCAAGGACTATCTCTGTTTCATTCGCTGCTGCAGGTCTGTCTGTGGATTCTTACTCTGAGAGGGAAGGCCCCTGAAGGACCTTTTAACCTTTTTGTTTAGGGTTAGAAGAGATAGTTTATATAAAGTACTTAGTTTGGTATGAGGCACAAATTGAATTTTTGTTTAGTTTTAAACTCAAAACTGTGTAAGTTATAACAGAGAAGGCAATACTGAGATCAAAGCATCTAACTGGTTCTGTGATGGTTGGGCTTCCACCAGCCAGTTTCTCACCAGAGAATCCTGGTGTCTTTCAGGTAGAGTAAGGGGCACTGTAGAGTGTTGTAGGTCTGTTGTAATCCCTGACTACTCTGGGGAGAAGTCGCTGTTAAAAAGAAATACTCCCAGTGCCTGTAAAGAGCTGTGTCACATAATACAATGTAATGTAAAATATATATATAAAAAAATAGATTAAAAAAGCTACATAGTCTATGCGTACAATTCCATGTGTCTTAGGATATTCTGAAAAAGTAAAATTAGGAAACTAAATCAGTGGTTGCAAGAGTTTAAAGATAAGAAACAACACATTGAGTATTAGCAAACATCAAATGTATTTTTCAGTTGATGAGAATATTCTATATCTTATTTGGTTGTTGAACATGTGAATAAATATTATCTGCCAAAATTTAACATACTGTATACATAAAAGACTAAAGCTTATTAATATAAAAGTGTCTCAGTGAGACTTTTATATAAATTATGTTAATACCATCTGTCTTTTAAGAACCATCTATAAAAAAACTGGAAGATCCCAAGTTTCAGTAATAGATATAAACTTGTCAAAAACTCTTTTTCTAAACTTGAGTATTATTTTGTTATAACAAACACTGTTATATTTTCATATCTACATTTGTCCAATTATTTCTTTCTTTGAATTCTGAAATGTTGATCTGAAAAGGATGCCGCATCTATCATAATATTGTTTGGAAATGCTGTATTCCACAGAAAAAAAAAAAAAGAAATACTCTATAAAGTATCCAATTGTCCTAAATTGGCATTCAATGATAGTGTAAAATGGTATTCTCAACCCTCAGACAAATCTTACCCTTGTGTTTTAGTCAAAGAAGCTTGGCAGAGATCACAGAACTTATCCATACCGCTCTCCTTGTACATCGCGGGATCGTGAATCTAAGTGAATTGCAGTCTTCTGATGGGCCACTGAAAGATATGCAGTTTGGAAATAAAATAGCCATCCTGAGTGGAGACTTTCTTCTAGCAAATGCCTGCAATGGACTAGCCCTCCTCCAGAACACCAAGGTAAGAATGGGCAGGGTCTGCTGTGCCTGGAAGGCCTCGGCTGGCACTTGGTTCATTGCCAGAGCCATGGAGGTCTTTGCACGCCCTGCTGTCCAACTCAGATCACGTACGTTCTTAGTAAACGCTGATAGTGGCAGTATCAGCAGCAGCAAAGACTGGTATTGGCAGAGAGGTGTTTGGAAATTAATTTTTGTTTTTCCTAATTATGGATGAAAATATTTGTTAATTGTAGGATAGTAATAAATATTTCAAAATAAGAAAGATATAACCTACTTACCAGGGATAAACACAATTAGTTGATATTTGATGCATTTCCTTGCTATTTAGATGTTCAAACTTGTCCTCATATATGTGGACTTTTATAGCACAGGTAAAAACTTGTGTAAGTGTAAGGCTTTAATTTCTTATTTTTTCTTACTTTATGTTATAAAGTAGACATTTATCCATATTATTAACAACATTTTTTAAAAAAAGATTTATTTATTTTTAGTGGAAAGGCAGATTTATTGAAAGAGAGACCTTCCGTCTGCTGATTCACTCCCCAAGTGGCCACATGGCTGGAGCTGAGCCAGTCCAAAGCCAAGAACCAGGAGCTTCTTCCGGATCTCCTATGCAGGTGCAGGGCCCAGGGCTTTGGGCCATCCTCGACTGCTTTCCCAGGGTACAAGCTGGTACCCATATGGGATCCTGGTGCATGCAAGTCAAGGATTGCACCACTGGGCCATTGCATCAGACACTATGTTATTAACATCCATTGTAAACTTTCTAATGGCTGCATAGTAGACAGTCAGTTATATGTAATATCATTCACAGTCCCAATTTTTACTCATTTTAAGTTGCATCTTCCATTTCTTAATATGTATTTATTTATTTGAAAGTCAGAGTTCCGTTGCTGGCATAGTATAGCAAGCTAATCCTCTGCTTGCAGCACTTGCATTCCATATGAATGCTGGTTTGTGTCCCAGCTACTCTGCTTTCCATCCAGCTCCTTACTTGTGGCCTGGGAAAGTAGCAAAGGGTGTCCAAAACCTTGAGACTCCCACTCAGGTTGGGGGGCCAGAGGAAGATCCTGGCTCTTGGCTTTGGATCAGTTCAACTCTGGCTATTGCTTTCATTTGGTGATTAAACAAGGGACAAAGATCTTTATCTCTCTTTCTCTCTGTAAATCTACCTTTCAGATTTAAAAAAGTAATAATAATAAGTAAATCTTTAAAAGCAAACAGAGTTGGAGGGGGTGGGAAGTATCCACCTGCTGATTAATTTCCAAGATGGCTGTAATAGGCATTGCTAGGCCAGTTCGAAGCCAGGAACAGCACCGTTATTCTTCCACATGGATGTCAGGAGCCCCACAATTTAACTGTCCTTTTCTGCTTTTCCCAGACTGTTAGCAGGGAGCTGGGTCAGAAGCAGAGCAGCCACGACATGAACTGGCGTCCATATGTTGCAGGCAATGGTTTTACTTGTTACACCACGATGCCAGCCTCTGGTTCTTTATTTTACTCTCATAAATAGATCTGCATAAAATATCTTTGAACATCAGCCTTCCCCTTTTCAGATTTTGTATTTTAAATAAATACTGAGAAGTAGTTTAAAGGTTTTCAACTTCTATAGTGTTCCCAGTACATATTTCCGAACTGTTTTCCACAGATTGTAAAGTGATATTGGTTATACATCAAGTAAAATTAGATTTGTTTCTAAGATAGTGATGGCCTAAACAAAGTTAGAGATTAGTTGTTTGTTTTGTTTTCTGAGTTCTTATGTGTAAATACCTGGAAGTTGATGCTGACATTCTGCACAGTGAGGGCCCCAGGCTCCTTGTGTCTTACTGCTCTGCCTTCCTCACTGTGCCACTTCATGGCTTATATGACTCCATCAGGCCTAAGCTCCGGTCAGTAGGGAAGCGGAAGGAAAAGGAGAAAGGACAAAAAAATGGCAGATCTGCTTTCCATGGAGGTCCTGCTTCACTACAGGCAGTTGCCAAGTAAGGCAGCTGTCCTGGGATCTTGTGTAGCCTAGCTTTTATCCTGCATTTTCCATTTTTAAAGAGATAATTCTGAATGATAATTGTATTACATTATACTTGGAGTTGCTGAACTGTGAGATTTGAGGAATAGAGCCAGTGTTGAGTCTGAAAATACCCTGGAGCACAGCAGTGCCTTTGCTCTTTATTGTCTGTCAGTCAGATTTTAGAAATCTTTGTAAACATCTGTGTTCAACACTGGCATTGAACTTTGTTCTAAATTGGCCATCAAATGCATGCTGGATTCTAAAAAGAAAAAATTAATTTGTAGCAGAGAAGGGAAGCGAGAAGTCAATCAGCTAGGTTGTACCAGGTTTGAGAAAATCCTTCCAAGGTCTGTTGGCTGACCAGATCCACCTTAGTGCCAGCACAGGCCCAGGAACATGCTGCAAAACGTAGACAGGAGAGTTGTCCAAACTGTTCTGCCTTCCATCCTCTGATGAGGCTCTTGACATCCTCTCTTGACCTAGATAAGCTGGCTCCTAGCCCACCGGGCATGCCCCCACTTCCCCTGCTTCTGTGAGTGCCAGCAAGTTGTGAGTGATGCTGTTTAGCCCAGCCCAGCTCTCCCATATGGGCAGGTGCCTTTGCCTGACCCAGACGTGGTTTCCAGTTTCCCCCCGTAAACCACTTAGTCTCAGTTTCCATCTCACCCACCTGCAAGTGCAATGACCTGATCTGTGGAAACCCCCAAAGTCATTCCTCCCCCATCAAACAAGCCCTCAGCTGCTCCCACTCCAATATGTCCCCAGGCCCCTTCCCTGGGCAATCTGCAGTCTCCCCACCTGAGGGCCAGGGATGACATGAATCTGTCTGAGATTCCCCACCTTAATAGAGACTACCATGTCGAAATGTGAGGACACAATACAACATGCATCCCTACTTCCATATCAAAGATGGACTCCCAACAAAACTGTTGAACATGTCTAGACAATGGGATGCTGGACTGTCTGACCTTGTCTATACCAGCAATGTAGGGCACACTTAAATAACAGATTGATAGAATTATAATTCTTTTTGAAGAACTATACTATTATAACAATACGGGGAAAATCAGTGGGAGGAGTGGTAATTTGAGGGAGGGAAATCCCAGACTCTATGGAATTGTATCATAAAGTTCAAAATTAAAAAAAAAAAAAGGAGGGGAGGGGAAGGAATAGGCATACTGATCTAGTTAACACAAAACTGCCATTAACCAAGTCCAAAATGCCCGCCAATTATTGGCTGCTTCTCTCCCAGCACTGTAACACTTGCCTAGATAGAAGGTAGCCCAAGCAGTTGCCTACAACTGGGGACATAGGCATTTTAACAGGAAGCTGGATCAGAAGTGGAGCTATCAGAACTTAAACCAGTGCAACGTGGAATGCTGGTGCTTTATCCACTATACCACAGTGCTGATCCTGGCAGTTTTATTTTAAAATACCACATTTTTAAAACCCACATTATTCAGAAAAGTACCAATAACTCAGTATTAGATATGAAGAAGAAATGGCTAAAAAATAGATGACAATACATGAAGAATTACTGTACTTGAGATGTTTACTATTTAGATAATCAGCATAAATGTATCTTTAGTACATATGGATGTATATTTTTAACTTCTGAAATGCTACTTTTGAAAGTTTTTTAAAAGGTTTTTGAATGAACTCATTGAGTTCAAAAGTGTAATGAAATTGATTGTTAGTTAATATGTGTTTCAAAAAAATCGTGAAGTGTTAGTTGTTCCAGCATTTCTTTTCACTCTTCAGTGTTCTTTGGATGACATTGTATAGTGTCTGTTCTGTGAAGGCATTTCTCAGATGCAGTTGTTCTGCTTATGTCCTATTGGCCAGAAGCCTGATAGTTAAGGTTGCGCTGGAGTGCCTGCCTTTTTATACTTCATCTGTCCTGCTAGTGTATCCTAGAAGGAGGCAGGATGGCTCTTGTAATCGGATCCCTGCGCCCCAGTGTGGGTTGAATTCCCAGGCCCTGACTTTAATGCAGCCCCTACTGTTGCACACATGTGGGAGTAAACCAACAGAATCCCCTGTATCCCATGTGTCTTTCTTCTCACTCAGATTTTTTTTTTAAAGATTCATTTATTTTTATTGGAAAGGCAGATGTGTAAAAACAGGGAAATACAGAGAGGAAGACCTTCCATCCATTGATTCACTCCCCAAGTGACCGCAACAGCTGGAGCTGAGCTGATCCTAAGCCAGAGGCCAGTAGCTCTTTCCAGGTCTCCCATGCAGGTGCAGGGTCCTAAGGCTGTCCTCAAGTGTTTTCCCAGGCCACGTTCAGGGAGCTGGAAGGGAAGTGGAGCAGCCAGGACATGAACTGGCACTCATATGGGATCCTGACGTATGCAAGGCGAAGACTTTAGACACTAGGCTACCATGCCAATCCCCCCTCTCAGATTTTTAAAAATTTAATCAATCATTGATTTGATTAATTTTGCAAAAAGTTTAAAGATCACAGGGCAACAAATTGTTGTAAGGGAGAGTAGGACAAGTGATATTTGTGACAAGTAGCCATGTACCCAGCTAGAAATCTATAAGAGACAGAAAATAAATACTGAAAGACAAGTAGCATTGTGCTCTATCTCATTTTTGGCTAGCATGTGTATATATCAGATAGATGTACTGATTTGAGGAAATAACCCAGTTTTTATCCCCTTGGGGAAAAAAATTTTGATAAATGAACTGGCCATGTGAAGCAGAGGAAGAAACGGTCAAATCTCTTTTCTGAGATTCATTGCCATCGGGCATTCTTTACTCACTCCCCGTTTCTCTCTCTTCTGTGTAGAGTGTCCCTTCTTAGGTATTCCTAAATGTTCCCCTTCATATTGAAATTCCATGTTAATGGAAAATTCCTTATCCTTCTGAGTCACCAGCTTCAAAGTCCATCCTTTTCTCTTTGCCACACCTACAGTTGTGTGTGAGGAAATTTGGTTCTAGCGCAGAGAAGGAAGAGGCCTTAGAAAGTACAAGTCTGAAGGCCT